AGGAGTAGGATGAGGAGGAGGAGGAGGAGGAGGAGGAGGAGGAAAAGGAGTAGGAGGAGGAGGATAGTGAGTAGGAGTAAACTTCCGCTGTACTTGTACGGCTGCGCTGTGGGGTGCTTGCTGACGTCTGTGTTTTGTTCGTGGTGCTTGCAGGCAGTCCGTTCCTGGGCGTGATCATCGACTTGGGTGCTTGCAGCTGTGATTTTGCTGCGGGATGCGTACTGACCATGTCTTCTATGTTTGGCTGTACTTACAGGCAGTCCGTTCCTGGGCGTGATCACCGATGAGTCGGGGCAGCTGCGGAGGGAGCACGACGTGAACGCGGCGACGAGCGCTGTAGAGTCGAGCCAGCTCGTGAAGAGCACCCCGAATCAGGAGAACCTACAGCCGAGTCAGGTCGCGAATGTGAGTCAGCGCGAGACACGCGAGACCGTGAGGCACGAGGCGTGTGAGACTGTGTGGTGCGAGGCGTGTGAGACTGTGGCGCGAGGCGTGTGAGACTGTGTGGTGTGAGGCGTGTGAGACTGTGTGGCGCGAGGCGTGTGAGACTGTGAGGCGTGTGAGACCGTGCGGTGAGAGGCTGTTGTGGTGAGATCTTGGGCGGTAATGTTCACTGCGGTGAGATCGTAGGAAGTATTGTTCACTGTGGTGAGATCGTAGGAAGTAATGTTTACTGTGGTGAGATCGTAGGAAGTAATGTTCACTGTGATTAGATCGTGGGCGGTATTGTTCACTGTGGTGAGATCGTAGGAAGTAATGTTTACTGTGGTGAGATCGTAGGAAGTAATGTTCACTGTGATTAGATCGTGGGCGGTATTGTTCACTGTGGTGAGATCGTAGGAAGTATTGTTCACTGTGGTGAGATCGTAGGAAGTATTGTTCACTGTGGTGAGATCGTAGGAAGTAATGTTTACTGTGGTGAGATCGTGGGCAGGAATATTCACTGTGATAAGGTTATGGGCAGTAGTGTCGGCTATGGTAAGGTAGTGGTCATAGTAGTGTCCACTTCTGCAGGCACAGCTATGGACTGTAGACGAGCAGTATACTGCCTATTGCGCTGTAGGTGATCATGGGCAGCACTGTATTGAATACAAACAGGAACTGGTGTGTGAGCTCATTGTGGCACGCATTTGGCAGTAATTGCCTTGAACAACAAATAGTCTGTCCAGCACCTGTGCTATGAGAGGGAATCGATGAGCTTTTTTAACAATTCTCCAGCCTCGTCTACTAAACCTGTTTGCCACTGCTAAAAGGTTAAGATCAATCATGGCAGGGCCATCAGAAGTAAAACTTCCTGTCTTCTTCAGGTGACATACGTCTATCTGTATTGCTAAAAGGACGATAAAAAATCGTACAAAAAAGGAGAAAGAATTTCCTGCCTCATCACGCGATATGAATAGCACGGTCTGTTCTAGATTCGAGAAAAATTTCTCGTGTTAGTTGAGCTTTAACTCCACATGGGGGAGGTTAAACGTTCGAATCGACGTCGCGTGCAGCCACCTATTCAGCGACGTCGCGGCGTGGGTGCATGCCACAGGCACTTGGGACATGCAGAGTTAGTAAAAACTGAGAATATTATGAACGCGGCACATTCACAAAAACCACCCGTTTATTACACTTCCACTGTTGTGCCACTGTATATCAACTTGCTTTCACAAAAACTGATGTAGAACTAGCCCCTCCCGCCACTCATCGTTGCGGGTGTGCTGTGTCGCTAATACACTGATATCAGGAGTGAATAAAGGAGATAGATCTCTATTATTCACTCCTGCTGATATTTTATAGTATGACATGATCATACATATATATGACTATATGTATATATGACTATATGTATATATGACTATATGTATATATGACTATATGTATATATGACTATATGTATATATGATTATATGTATATATGACTATATGACTATATATAGCACACCCGCAACGGCGAGTGGCGGGAGCGGCTATAGTTCTACATCCGTTTTTTTTCTGAACGCAAGTTGATCACAGTGGCACAACAGTGGAAGTGTAATAAACGGGTAGTTTTCTGTGAATGTGCCGCGTTCATATATTAACTCTGTCGCAAGTGCCTGTGTGGGTGGCGGCGGCTCTGCGGTTTGCTGATGCTGCGCTGCATCTGTGTTGTGCTACAGGTCGCTGGCAGCACGAGCCAGAACAAGACGAGCTACAAGAAAACGACGAGTTCCACGAAGGTCGTGAAGTCCTCCACTAGCAGGATGACCGACAGTCAGGGCAAGACGGAGATGTCAGGTACGATGATCACGATGTCATGTCTACATGTAATGTAATGCAATCATGTAATAATAATGTACTGTCATGTAATGTCATGTCATGTAATGTCATGTAATGTCATGTCATGTCATGTAATGACATGTAATGGCATGACATGTCATGTAATGCCATGTCATGTCATGTATAATGTCATGTCATGTAATGTAATGTCATGTAATGTAATGTCATGTAATGCCATGCCATGTCATGTAATGTAATGTAATGCCATGTCATATATTATGTCATGTAATGCCATGTCGTGTCATGTCATGTAATGCCATGTCATGTCATGTCGTAATGTCATGTCATGTCATGTGATTAAATGATGTTTTGAAGAAAATATAGATGAAATTTTAATCAAATCGTGAAATGACAAAAATGTTGAATAATGTAAATCTAGCTCTCTCACTTCGTAAAGTGATACTGCTCTCTACTCTCTAGTTACACTGTTTCTTGGTGTTTAGCTATAATTGTGATCTCATGTGTGGTGTGATATAATATAATCAAGTAATGTATATGTTAGCATATTAAATGTGTAGATGAATTACACCTCTCACACATGCTGGTTGGTGCTGCCACCAAGTGGTGAAATTGCGCCAATGATCATTTTCCTAGCATACACACGTTGAAAAATTTCATTACTAGTATTTATCAATGTACAGTACATAAAAGATGATGTCCAAATACACAACACGTGCTCAGAATTGGTCAGACATACATAGATGCTTATGTATATGAAATTGTTATAATTAGCTCATCACAATTGAATTTATTTACGACATGCAAGGTTACTTTGTTTAACAAGTCACTCTACTCTACAAAAGACTCGAGGCTATCGAAAAATATCCTCAACTGACGCAACTTTGATATGCATAAACCTACACACACAGCCCGCTGACTGTTAAAGATTGTTATATACATTTCTATATTCCACGGTGCATATGTGATTTGTCGTAGGATATGCTGAGGAGAGCCAATCTTCATCTAGAAAGGAAGGTGACCGGCCTGCTTTGAAAGATGAGAGCCGCTACACTGTCACCAAGTCTGCGGTTGACACCCCCGAGGTAAACAGCTGAGATTCGCATTATACACATTTCTATCTGGTGTGGTAATGCAGTGCAATTCCTCATTGTGTGTTAGTGACAATGAAGTGTGTGCATAGATAATGCCATATGTTTTTAATGTTCTGCATGTGCAGTATGCAGACTCCAAGACAAAGATGACGTACAAGACAATGGATGAACCGGAGAAGGTGGAGAAACACAGGACAACCGTGACCAAATCTCATGATGGACCCGATTCCATACACACTGAGATTTTCAAGTATGTAGGCACTGTGCTTGCACAGACACTAGCTTTCATGACCATCAGACAATTAACATTGCAGATATAAACTACATTTAGTATCGAAAAACCATGAATGTTTTAATGAGAATTTACCCTCCTCTCTTGTTTATAAAGGGGTGTTTACATGAGTGTCCTTATAAATATGCCTAATTGTTTCTAATTTCTCATTGTAAATCGTTGGTCGCTGAAGGTAATGCTTAACGTGTATGTAAACTGGTAATAACCGAGTGCTGTGTTGTTTAGGACGGATGGCAGAGGTCAGCCTTCCATAGAGAGAGAAACCTCCTTCAGGTCAAGTGGAGGTAACATTTCTTCTATTGTGGCCAAAATATAATACATTATAGTCTTACTCACACTCAGCAAACATTTTATATAAAAAAACGCCACCGTTTATTTTCGTTCCCCGTTTCTATTTCTGTGCCGTTTGTAATAGGCGTTTATTATCATCAATAATTTTCTAAATTGTTTTGTATATTTTTTTTCTCATTTGCGTTATATTATAAATAATAATAATTTAACATGTTCACATCATAAATTACTGCATTTTCACTGTTAGTAGTGATAGCGACACACAGTATTAAGTAATAATAATAATTTTCACTAATAGTAGTGATAGCGACACAGTAATAAGTAGCTACGTGTGACAGCACTGATGTCACGTGTCACCCACCCCTGCAGGTGTGGAGCGAGCGACCAGCTCCGCGTCAAGCACAGCGCGCGCGCACGACGCGAGCAAGGACTACACGGTGCCGCTGTACGTGAGCACGAGCGACCGACAGCAGCAGCAAGCCACCAGCCGGAGCCACCAGTCGTCGCACAGCGAGCAGGTTCCGTACTACGTCGAGACGCAGAGCACGCTGCCGGCGCGGGAGCCGCACGAGCGGTCGGGTCACAGCGACAGCTGGTCGAAGGTCGACTACTCGTCGTCGGACGCGCGCCGCGCTGCGCCGACGCAGTCAAAGTCCGAGGAGAGCTTCTCGAAGTCGGGTACGGAAGCTGCTGTTCGTTGTGCACGACGTAGGATTGATGATGATGATAGCTTAATATATATATATATATAAATATATGTATGTATATATGTATATATATATATATAATTAATAAAAGTCGGGTAAAGAAGCTGCTATTGGTTGTGCACGACGTAGGATTGATAATGATGATAACTTAATATATATATATATATATAATTAATTAATAAAAGTCGGGTAAAGAAGCTGCTATTGGTTGTGCACGACGTAGGATTGCTAATAATGATTAAGGATACAGTCGGGGTTACGCACAGGTACCAATGTAAAGGGCATTACAACATAACTGCTCATCAAATCCAATCAAACGTGCATCTATTTAATTTATAATGATTAACAGGTATTAATTTATGAGAAGGTTTGTGTGGGTGGTTTATTATGCGTAGAAGTATTATTTGAGGAATTAAATACAATTAAACTTATCTTGTGTGATAATCTTGTGTAGTTTATTTGAAATGTTATTACCTATATGAGAGTCGGGTTTAACTTTTTGAGAAAATGGGGTACAGTACAGCTAAATTAATGACTAGCCATTGAAATTTATGTGAATGTTAACACTGCAAATACAATCCTCAAACAAAAATCCACACCTATCGTGTTCTGGTAGATCTTAATCCTAAAAGGCAAGATGTGTTATTTTGCAGAGGAGCCAAACTATGAGAAAAGTCAAGAAGGTCCCAAGCGTGTGACAAAGTCGACGCGCGTTGTGAAAGAAATGCGTAAGAAGGAAGTGAAATCAACAACCCGTACAAGCCACTCTGGTATGTGCCATTATGCCATCTACAATACTGTAATGCCACAAGCTAGAAACATGAATAGATGTCTAAGATGCCCCCAAATATACCTGAAATTATTATTTTTAGTGCATATGTGTGTATCAATCGAAGAATTATACATGTTATACGTTATTATATATCATATATTTATTATTATATATGTTATTACTTTCATTCATTTGAGCCACATTGCAAGCACCTGAAAGTGTACTTATTGGTGCACAGATTTATCCCATCTATTAATGATAAAACTTAAAATGTTACGTTATCTATTATAATAATATTGATTATTTTAACATTCAGATTCTCTACTGATCCAGCCTGCTAAAAACAGCACATACACTGAAACCCCTCGAAACCTCCCGAAACTATGAACCGAAACTGACAACTATATATATGAACCGAACTAACAACTTCCCGAAACTATGTACTCTTTGGCTTTATGCAATCATAACAAATTGTAAAACTAGAAGTGATATTATCAGTAGTGTCATAACATAAAGGAGTGTGTCTCGCTCGAAACAAGAAATTCAACATTTCCATGCCCTAGTTTCCCTATGATTTTTTTACGTGAAACTCATTGAAGATGACATCAGAATTAGCGGCGTACATCCCACTTGCCCTCGCACTTTACCTTATCGATACCTCTTCTTATTGTGTAGTCATAGCTTCTCCTCATATAGAACTCCTCTATATTATACCATCCTGATATTATTTATATTACGTTCATTCTGCTGAGTCGCCTCGACGATGGCTGTCACATTTACGCTGTGTTAAATTTTTTTGTAATTATAACTTTTTTATCATTTATAACTTAATCATAAGAAATTGTACAACTAGAAGCGATATTATCAGGAGCTTATAAATGGAAAAAATATAAATTATAAAAAATAAATAATAAAGTAAATATCATAAATATAATAAATATAATAAATAAATATAATAAAAAATAAAAAATATAAATTCCATTTATAACGTATAAGCTCCTGATATTATCACATTCATTCCGCTGACTCACCTCGACGATAACCCTCACATTCACGTCGACTCTATACGTTAGGTTCGCGGGAGGTGGACCGGCGCGACACGGGCGGAGGTCCGCTGTACGTCACCGACACGAGTCACTCGTACGAGCGACGCGAGCAGCCGTTCCGCGAACCGCTGGCAGACGAAGCGGAGCGCGCGTACTACGCGACGGAGAGCGGCCGAGAGAACAGCTCGCACGCGGAGTCTAGCTCCACTAGCAAGGTGTTCACCACCAAGGAGCTGAACAAGGTACGTTGGGAGCTGCGTGGGAGGGGGTGGGGGGCATGGGCTCACGTGTGCTGGAATGCCTGGACTGGGTTTCGTTGAGTGGTAGCTTTATGCTCGGTGTATAAATGTGCGTAATCTATGAGTGTGTGCCTGAATGCATGTACATTTGTGTGTGTGTGTGTGTGCGTGCGTGCGTGCGTGCGTGCGTGCGTGCGTGCGTGCATGTGTGCGTGTGTGTGTGTGTGCATGCACATGTGCGTGTTGTCTGTGCATGCTAGTGCCATTGATACTGAATGGCAACAAATGCCTCTACTACTACTACACTCCGTGCATGCAAGCGTGCGTGTGTGCGTATGTGTGTGTAAGTATGCATGCACCCATGTATGCGCATGCATGTGTGCATGTTAAATTGCATGCATGCTAGTGGCACTGTACGATACTTCATCGTTAGCTTATAGTGCTGAATGCTACTTGTTTGTATACTATTACCTATAGTACATGTGTGTAGGTGCGCATGGATGGGCGTGGGATAACGGCAGCAACACTTAATCAGCCGTCACATTTTATGATAGACTCCCGGGGCCAAGGGGAGCCAACCGTCGTCATCAAAGGTAAGCGATGGGTCTGTGAAGCATCACGTTGCAGTGTTTTCCCTGCATTGACACGAGCAAGGCGGGCCGCTTCGCTCAAATTCTCAGCCGCCACACAGAAATTTGTCCAAAACACCGCCTCGCTGATGAAACTTTTGACAACTTGAAAAAGAGATTCAAGAGTCTCATACAATGTGTTCAGAATAGCTTAGTATGCACCAAATT